TCTATCCTGCAGCAACTGTGTCAAGCAGCAAGGATGGACCGGCTTCTGGCATTCCTGAGTAAAGAAGTGTCAGAGTGCTGCCCAGAAAAGCTTTTAGGGAAACCCTGCTCTGAAAGATGGGCATCTGCCAGGTGCTCAGTGAGCACCCGCCCGTCGGATTCATTTGGCTCCCAGGACTGCCAGGTACCCTGTGGATTAAAAAGAAAGAAACAGCCTCCACCTTTGTCTCTGAGAGGTGCATGCAGGGCCCCACCAGCCTGCAGTTTTCTTTCCTGCAAGTTAGTTAGCCTGCCATCTTTCATATGCAAAAGCACTGATCATACATCATCAGGGGCCTGTCTTCTGAGTGGCTGTTCTACAGCTGGCTGGGTCTCAGACAGCCATGCACAATCTCCCATGTCCTACCAAAGGCATTTGTTTGTGTGTGTTTTTCTTTTTTGAGATTTTTAAAAAATTTAAAGATAGTTGGTGTACAACCTTTATTGGTTCTATTAGTTTCAGGTGCATATAATATAGTGATTCAACATTTTTATACCTTACAATGTGATCACTCGACTTAATCTAGTAATTATCTGTCACCATACATACTTATCACATTACTAGAGGCCCGGTGCACGGTCAGGCCAGGGAGAGATGCAGGGGGTTGGCTAGCTGGGGAGGGACTGCGGGAGGGCTCCAGGGTGTGTCTGGCCTGTCTCACTCAGTCCCAATCGGCCAGACCTCAGCAGCAAGCTAACCTACCGGTTGGAGCATCTGCCCCCTGGTGGTCAGTGCACATCATAGCGAGCTGTTGAGCAGCCTTAGCATATCATTAGCATAGTATGCTTTAATTGGTTGAACAGGCAACAGAACAACCAGACACTTAGAATATTAGGCTTTTATTATATAGGATTATTGATTATATTCCCCTTCCTCTTTTCACCTATCTCCCCAACCCCCTCACTTCTGGTAACCATCTGTTTGGTCTGTGTTTCTATCCATTTGTTTATTTCTTTTTAAATATATTTTTATTGATTTCAGAGAGGAAGGGAAAAAGATAGAGAGATAGAAACATCAGTGGTGAGAGAGAATCATTGATCGGCTGCCTCCTGCACTCTCCCTTCTGTGGGGATCGAGCCCGAAACCTGGGAATGTGCCCTTGACCAGAATCGAACCTGGGACACTTCAGTCTGTAGGCCGACGCTCTATCCACTGAGGCAAACCAGCTAGTGCTGTGTTTCTATCCATTTAGATGTGACCAGTGGGAGTCAGGGCCCTGAAACAGGGCATATTAACTAGGCCTCATGGTATCTAATCTCAGAACTGTGATCTCTTTTTTAATATATTTTTTCTCACTAAAAATAAATCTATGTGTATATATACACATACATGTGTATATACTCATACACACACATGTGTATATACTCATACACACATTTATTTATTGAAGAAAGTCTGGAATATATAAACAATGAAAAAATCACCTATAATTTCACCCTCTTCCAAAGAACTGTCGTTAGCACCTGGCTTCTGTTCTTCCCACTAACCGTGTGCGTTATGGAGCACTTACTGTGTGCCAGGCATTGACTGTGCTGCAGGCTCTGCAGGCACCATCTCATGTCAGCCCTTGTCTTACATTTGGTATACTCCACCTTTCTATATATACATTTACACTTTCTTCGTTTTAAGGCCAAGGGGATCATACTGTTTTGTAACCTTGCCTTCCTCACTGCAATAGCATTGAAATTTCTTTCTGTGTTATTAAATATTCATCTACAGGATCATTTATAACATCGGCATAATGTTTTATTGCAGGCGAGTTCCATGCTTCTCAGACTGGGGTGCATGTACCCCTGAGGGCAAAGCCACAGGATAAATGTAGCACAGTCTCCTGAAGCATAAATTGGATTCGAAGCTTTAGGAGGGGAAAAAACCACATTATTGCCCTAACTGGTTTGGCTCAGTGGATAGAGCGTTGGCCTACAGACTGAAAGGTCCCAGGTTCGATTCCGGCCAAGGGCATGTACGTTGGTTGCGGGCACATCCCCGGTGGGAGGTGTGCAGGAGGCAGCTGATCGATGTTTCTCACCAATGTTTCTAACTCTCTATCCCTCTCCCTTCCTCTCTGTGAAAAATCAATAAAATATATTTAAAAACACACATTATTTTAATATTAAAACAAGTGTATATATACCATAGTGTAAAAGAGCAACCATGAATTTTAAAACAGAGCAGCCACGTTCAAAATTGTTTGAGCTTGTGTTTTCCCAAGACCCAGCCCCCTGTCCTCCGGGTGGCAGGAACATCTGAGAAGCACGGAGTTCTAGTTCAAGCCCCTCGTTTTACCGATAAGGCACCCGAGGCTCAGGGAGAAGGAGGGAGCTTGTGTGCCCCTCCCAGCCTTCCATATTTGGCAGCATCCCTCCGCTGCTTTTTCAGAGGGTGTGGGTGGAGACCTTGCCACTTGAGCAATAAAACCTCTGCGTATCTATAGTGGAAACTCTTGGCTTCCTGCATGATCCATCTCTTAGCAGTAGTTTTGTTTTTCTTTTCGCCTTGCCGGCCAGGATCTGAGCTGTGCACTCCTGTGGTTCGTAACTGTAGTCTCTGTGGGCAAAGGTGGAGGCCCTCCCCCAGCCCCCATGGACTCCAGCAGCACTCAGATTTGTCACTTAATGCACTGTATGAATCCACTGCTGTTTTACCCAGGAAACATTATCATCATCTGACATGTATCAAGCACCTTCTAGATGCTTCCAGATAAAACACCATGCTGCATGTTTTATCTAAAGTCTTCGTAACACCTTTTCAAAGCAGGTATGATTGTCCCCACTTATCAGTAAGAAAACTGAGCCAAAGATGATCACTTGCGCATCATCATTCACTGATAAGTATTTACGGCAGGATTATATGCCAGGACTTGTGTTAAACGCTGTGGACAATCATGATGAACAAAACTGATACCACTCCTGCCTTTATGGAACTTACAGTGGGGGAGATGATATTCAACAAATACGTGTTCTTAAATATGTTTTTTTAATTGATTTCAGAGAGAGGAAAGGAGAAGAAGAGAGGGATAGAAACATCAATGATGAGAGAGAATCAGCCAGCAGCTGCCTCCCACACAACCCACACTGGCGATCAAGCATGCAACCTGGTCATGTGCCCTGACCGGGAATCGAGCCAGGACCTTCCGGGTCATGGGTCGATGCTCAACCACTGAGCCACAGTGGCTGGCTCAACAAATAATTGTACAAACTGTAGTGAGTGTAATGTGGCCCAGAGCCTGTCCAGCTGCCTCAGTTTAAACCCACCTCAGCCACTTATCAGCTAGCCTCATCTTGGTCTTCTGTAAAGAGGATAATAGTAGTATCCACTTCATAGGAGTACTATCAAGCAAGTAAATCAGCAAAGGTAAAGCCCTCAGAGCAGAGCCTTGCACATTCCAGGGGTATTGCTGCTGCTGGGACGAAGGAGAGGCTTAGGGTACCCGGCGCACATGATAGGGCAGGGCCTACGTCTGGTGACACTGATTGAGTTCTACAAGAGGAATGGGAGTTAACTTGGCAAAGTGGGGGGATGACAGGGGGGAGGGGGGTGCAGGGTGTTGGAGGTATGTTCCAGACAGAGGGAATCGCCTATGCCAAGTACCGAGGGTGGACTCACCTGAGGAAATGCACGGGGTGTGGCTGGAACACAGCAGGTAGGGAGCCTTACAGGTCAGCATCTGCAAAGGAGGCGCCTGTGGTGGAAATGCAGCTCTTTCCGGGTCCTGCGCTCTGCACGGCACCGTTGGTCCAGGCCACGGGAGAGACTCAGTCAACGTCCCGTGAGCGAGCGAGCGAGCACAAGGACAGACAGCTACGTTGGCCTCATGTGGTCTTGCTGTGGGTGTTCCATTGGCCCCCAACCAGAAGAGGGATCCATTGCCCCATATACACAGCGGTGTGTGGACAGTTCCATCCCCACAGTCGAGCATTACACAGCCCTGTTGCTGGTCCCTCCCTTCTTGGCAGTAGACTGGAACGTGTGGCCTTGGATGGGGATCTTCCACATCCGGGACTCAGCAAGGTGGCTGCTGCTGCTGGAATCCCTGCACTGCAGTCAGGGCCCCAGATCTAAGCCAGTGGTGGTCAGACTCTCTCAGGAGTGGAAGCTTGTGTTGAAATGATCTAAAGGAAACCCAGGAGGTGGCACGGGGACAAGCAGAGCTTCGCAGGCAGAGGGACTCGGCGCTTGGTAATACCTGGTGCACCTGAGTGAATACTAGGGCTCCACAAAGCACAGTTAGAAATCCAAGGGCTGAGCCCAGCTCGCACTGTCCAGGTGTGGAAACTGAGGCCCAGAGAGGGGGTGACCCTCCCAGGGTCACACAAGGAGGGACAGACCCAGAACTGAATTCCAGACATTGGATAATCAATTTTATTACACCCAGATTTTCCTACCCACCACCCTGCCCGCCCACACACCTCCTCAGTTCGGGGGCGGGGGGGGGGGGGGGGGGGGCGGGGGGTGGTCCTCGAGGTTGGGGAAGGGCTGTAGCTAGGATCTTGTCACGTGTCCAGCCTCCAGCCCCAAGCCCCAGTCGGAGCCCAGGGCACGGGGAGTCAAAAATCCGGAAGGCAGGCGTGGGCGGGTTATTCACGTGCACAACCTGGCTGTGCTGTATCTTTTCTCTCTCTCTCTCTCTCTTTAATTGAGTTTGAGGTGGTTGTTTTTTGTTTCCTTAAGAAATGGAAAAGAATGAAGCTGCATAAACACAAGGATGTTAACTCCCTGAAAAACCTCCTGCCATTTTAACTCTGTTACTGGAGAAATAAAAGAGAAATAATTTGTCCACCCACACTTAGCTGTTTCTGACGAAGGTAGGTGAATATTGCTTTGCTAATCGAGGGTGACTGCTGGAAGTGGAGCCACGCTGACTGATCCCGGATTGAGAGGAAGGCACGGCAGCCCCAGGAGGAGCGGCCACCGTGGGCCCACGGCCCCCGAGTCAGCGGCCGGCTGTCCTCCTTCCACAGGTCTCCCCCAGCCGGTAGTGATGGAGGCCCTGGACCAGGCCGAAGAGCTCACGGACTCGCGGAGAGAAATGCCACCGCCACCCCCTCCTTCATCGCCCTCTGAGCCAGCTCAGAAGCCGCCACCTCCGGGCACCTGGAGCCACTCCCTCACGGTCAAGAGCAGCCTGTGCCTGTTGGCTGCCTCCCAGTTCCTGGTAAGGACATCACAGGCCCCAGGAGGGATTGGAAAGAGTACGGGTTGAGGGACAGCCCTCCACCTCCTCCCCAAGCTGGCCACCTGGGGATGCTGAGAGGTGAGGGTCCTGCTTAGCGCCCCTCGGTGACTCCCAGCCCTCAGCTGGAGTTCTGAGCTACCGCCTCCATAGCCAAGCCCCTCACACCCTGCCCTTTCTCACCCCAGGAGCAGGAACAGCCTCCTCCCAAGCCTCTGGCCCTGCAGGGGTCTCTCTGAGGACTTCCTGTCTCGGGGGCCCCTGGGAAGGGCTATCCGTTGACTCCTGTAGTCAGCTCTTCCCCAGAGAGAGTCCTGGGCCTTCTTTGGCACGCAGGACCTGGGCCCATCCCTCAGCTGTGCAGGCTGGACCTTGGGGCCAGGCTGGAGTGGGAAGGGACGCACAGAGCCCAGGCTCCTAACTCAGTGCACTTGTCCAGCTTGCCTGCGGCATGCTCTGGCTCAGCGGCTACGGCCCCAGCTGGTTGCAGAATGCCACACTCCTGGAACAGCTGGGACCCAGGGTGAGTAAGCTCCGGGACCTCCAGGGCAGGGGCAGCGGTGGGGGGCCTCCCTTCGCACCAAGCCCTGCGCGGGCCGTCTCTGAGTTCCGAAGGCAGCCCCACCCCCTGGAGCTCTTCTCCCTGCTCCCCACCCAGGTCTGATCTGAAGTTTTCAGAGCCTTGGTTCTGTCCCTGTTGAAACAGATGAGAACTCTGCCCCCTCCCCACCCCACCCCCGACCACCTTGACCTGTCTGTCTGGTGTTCCCCAGGCCTGGCTGGGCATTGGGACCTGGGAAGTCCCCAGTCTGCTGCTGGTCTCTCTGTCTGTGCTCCTCGTTACCAGCCTGGTAAGGTGCCTCCTAACCCTGAGGCCTGATCCCCACCAGCCCCCGTTAGACATTCTGGGTCTGTCTGAGGGATGGGCTGTTTGTCTCTCTCCATCAGTGTGCCCCGCATGGGGTGAGAGCACCTTCAGAATTGTTCTACAGTGTTCTAGGCAGGGGAGCAGGGCCGAGGCAGGGAGAAGACAAGTAGGAGCCCCCACAGCCCACCAAGAAGCCCTCAATCCACAAGAAGCTGAGAGGTCGAGGGAGGGAGGGAGGGGTCAGGGAGGACAAGGTGAGGGTGGAGCCTGCCATCCCTGTGAGGGGCAGTGCTGTGCAGATAGCTCCCAGGAGAGCAGGGCTGCTCTAGACATATTGAGGGGCAAGGGGCTTACTTCCATGCGCAGCCCACCAGCGAGGGGGCAGCAGCATGGTCCCAAGTCCGTGATGCTGTATCCCTCCAACCAGGTGTGGCACCTCCTGAGGGCTCCCCCAGAGCCACCCACACCACTGCCCCCTGAGGACAGGCGCCAGTCTGTAAGCCGCCAGCCCTCCTTCACCTACTCGGAGTGGATGGAAGAGAAGGTCGAAGATGACTTCCTGGACCTGGACCCCGTCCCCGAGACTCCTGTGTTTGACTGCACAATGGACATCAAGCCTGAGGCCGACCCCGCCTCGCTGACCGTCAAGTCCATGGGTCTGCAGGAGAGGTGGGAGGCGTGGAGGAGGGGTGGGCTCTCTGGGCCCTGGACCTCTCAGCTCCCTGTCAGATGCCTGACTCTTAACTCCCAGTGCCCAAGACCGGGCTGACCTCGTAGCTTAGCCAGTGTAAACACATGCTCTTTAGGTCTGATCAGAATGCCCCAAGGTGAGTGCTGAGAAATACTGTAACTGCACACAAGCACATAGGCATGCACAGGGTATACATGAGCACACGCACAAGGGTATACACGAGCACACGCACCCATACATTCCTCTGTGCTAGTAAGTTGGGTATGTTTCTTTACTGCAGGTCTTGTCAGGTCCTTTAACATGCTCCTGTTCACTGTAAATCAGCAATGGGGTGTATGTGACATTCCTCAAAGTCGCTTGACCACAGAACCGTTTATAGAGTGTGTCCCTGTGTTCCCCAGATCACACTTTGGGAGGTGTCGACACCCTCTTTTCAGATCACACCAGTTTGAGTTGCACACACGATGTCATGGACAGAGCGCGGAATGAGGAGTCAGTACACCCAGCTTTTTGTTTCAGCTCTGCTGCCCCCTTACTGCACGAGCTGGACAATGCTTGTCCCCTCTCTGGGACTCGGTTTCCCTTTCCATGTAATGAGGGCCCTCCCTGTGCTGGGCCCTTGGACAGTGAACACAGAGGAGTCTGTCCAGGGCAGACCCCCTTGCCGCTGCCATGCTGCCCTCGGAACTCCCTCTTTCCCTGACAGCGAGGGTCCCGGCCCCTCCTCGATGAGATGACCTTGACTCATTGGCCACCTCATCCCAGACTGCCGGGTCCAGGACTGTGCTACCAAGGGCCACGCCCTGCTTCTCTGATCTAGGCAGGTGCCCTCTCTCTGGGGGTTTCCTGGGGGCCACAGGGCTGGGTGCTGCCTCCGGGACTGACAGAGGAGAGCCCAGGGGCAGCCTGCGTTAAGGGGCCTCAGCTGAAACCTTTGGATCTGGGGCCTCCAACTCCTCACTCAGGCAGCTACTCTACTGCAGGAGGCGGCGAGGCAGGCCCACGCCTGGGGCTGAGACTTGTGCTCCTTGTCGCACCCCCACTCCTCTTCTTGGAGCCCACCCAGTTCCCAACCCTGCTCTCTCTGTCCCTCATCTTCCCACTCCAAGCCCCAAGCTGATGCCCCTCCCTGCCCCTGAGACCTACTCCCCCTTTCCCGGTCCTTCCAGGAGGGGCTCCAACGTCTCCCTGACCCTGGACATGTGCACACCCGGCTGCAACGAGGAGGGCTTCGGCTACCTCATGTCCCCCCGCGAGGAGTCATCCCGAGAGTACCTGCTCAGTGCCTCCCGCGTCCTGCGGGCCGAGGAGCTCCACGAGAAGGCCCTGGACCCCTTCCTGCTGCAGGCGGAATTCTTTGTGAGTCCTCTGAGCCCGCTACCCCTTGGTGGGCAGACCCCTCTACTCAGTCAGTCGCCTAACTAGCAGGGCACCGGAGTGGGGTGCCCAGCACTCAGCATCTGATAGATGAACACCATTGTTTTTGTGTTATCCGTTCTCCTCGTGTCTTGGGCAAGCTGCTTCCCCTCTGGGCCTCGGTTTCTCATCTAGAAAATGGGGATGTTGCAAGGATTAAAGGGATCACTAAGGTGTGCCAAGCAGCCAGCCGGGTGATTGGTATTCAGTGGCATTCCTGAGTCTTCAGGTCCCAGCCCTGTGGATTTTCTTTAAATCCTCACCTCAGGATATTTTTCCATTGATTTTTAGAGAGAGTGGAAGAGAGAAGGAAAGACAGAGAGAAATATCCATGTGAGAGAAACATATTGATTGGTTGCCTCCTGCTTGCGCCCTGACCAGGGCATGAGCCAGGGAGGAGCCTGCAACCAATGTAGGTGCCCTTGACCAGAATCCAATTCAGAACCCTTTGGTCTGGAAGCCGATGCTCTATCCACTGAGCCAAACCGGCTAGGGCTAGCCCTGTGCTTTGAAAGCTATAGAAAGCCCTCCCTCTGGCTGCTACTTTCCCACCCTCCTCCTGCCCGACATCACCAAGCATTGTCCGTGCCCCTTTTGACATCTTTCTAGCTGTAGCTTAGGGAGATCTAATCACCTGCTCTCTAGACTTGTGCTACAGCCTGAAGCTGCCTCCTGTTGGACTTCAAGGGGCCCAGTAAATGCCACCTGTTTTACCTGCCTGGATGCTCAACCAGTTAAGAGCTAAGTCCTAGGAGATCACAGTATCGTCTTTAGTTTTGTTGGTGAAGACGAGGTTTAAAAGGAGGCTTAAGTATGTAGCAATAGTGAGCTTCCTAATACCCCCAGATTTAAATTTTCTACCCACGCCATGTGGTACTGGCATATCATGGGCCCCATGGGGCATCCCTATAATTCTTTCCTGGCAGGAGGGCCCAAGAGGAGGAGGAAGGAGGAGGCTGGCACCCAAAAGCCCATTCCTCAATCAAATGCACCCGTCAGGCTACTTGCCCACCTCTGTGGGCAGGATGGGCGAGAGGCCATGAGTATTTGAGGAGAGTCTCTCCTGGGAGAAGCCAGGGGGATGGGGAACCGATGTGCCTCCCTCACAACTCCCCTCCCCCTCCCCCCCACCCCCTGCTCCCTGTATGGACACAATGGCTCTCTGAGAAGACCTCCATCACCTTGTGACCCACTGCTCCAAATTCTGCAGAGCTTGGCATGGCCTGCATTATCCGAGTTGGGCTAGCCTGAGACCCCTTTTCTAGCCTTATGTCCCCCAGCCCCTGCAGGGACTGTCTACCTCAAACTAGGCCAGCACCCCCCACCCCCATGTTTTTCTCCTCCAGGGCCTTTTTGCACATCATCTCCCACCCCTGATGCCTCTAGAAAGCCTTCCTGGACGATCCCACCCCAAGTTCCCACCACCATCACCTCCCCTTGAAGGGGACTTGCGTCCTCTCAGCACTTCTTGTTCGGTAGATCGTTGTCGATCTTGCCCAGAGAAAGGAACACAGCCTGCACACCCACCCCACGGCGCTTTTGCACATGTTTTTATTCTTTTGAGTCTCACAACAACCCTAGAAAGTGTTATGATCCTCATTTTACAAAGAGCGTACTTAGTGGGCCCAGACACAGTGAACGCTATAGGACCGTGTGTGGACAGATAGAAGGGGAGTGAAGAAGTGAGAAGCACTGGGGAGTCATCCCAGAGGACATGGGGGGAGGTGAGGCTAGAGGGGAGCCTGAAGGGTGGGAATGGTGTGGAGAACTGAAGAGGGGTGCTCCTTGCAAGTGGAATGCCACGAATTCAGACCTGGAGGCGAGATGGAGAATGGCATATTAGCAACAGGAAGGAACGGGCATAACTGAAGGACGGGAATCTTGAAAGCAGCTGGTGGTAAAGGAAGGCCAGACCCCAGAAGACCTCATATTCCAGGCAGAGAAGTCCAGACTTGGAGCTCTTGACACAGAATGATTGGGAGGTGCAAATACGGTCCTGGGAGCTCAGGAGACTCCTCTCCTGCTAGAGAATCAGAGGAGGCTTCTTGGAGGAAGTGGCATTTATGATGGACAGGAAGGACATGAGAAGATGAGAATCGGGTGGGGCACAGAGTGAGCAGCACAACCCCAGGTCCTGAGGTGGGGATGTCCAGGGTGGGAACACAGATCAACAAAGCCACTCAGTTTGGCTGCAGCGCAGGGAGTGTGGGAGATGCTGGTGACTGGCCAGATTGCTTTTCAAACTCTTGTTCTTGTTTATTGACCATTTATTTAGTGTCTACTCTGTGCCAGACTGGCCCTCAGTAGACAGTAGTAATGATAACATTTTTTTACGTACCCATTGCATGCCAGACAGTGTTCTAATTGCATTTTGTATATTCACGAACTCATTTAATAGTAAATGTTGAATGAACGCATGCACTCAAACCAGCCCCTGGACTAGAAGTTGGGGCACAGCAGCCCCTGGGTTCAAACATCTGTGAGAATCAGCCCACGGCTGCCATATCCCCACGTCCTTCCTCCTGCAGGAAATCCCCATGAACTTTGTGGATCCGAAAGAGTATGACATCCCTGGGCTGGTACGGAAGAACCGGTACAAAACCATCCTTCCCAGTGAGTACTCAGTGCCCTGGGGGTAGGGGGGTTGGGGGGGGGGGGTTCACCCTCCCCTGGGTATCTCCTCACCCTGAGGGAGACCTGAACCCCAGAGCTGGGCCTCCAGGCGATGCCCAGTGAAGAGAAACACCCCCTACTGAGGGCAGAGGTTAATTCATTCCTTCACACGCACTCTCCGGACCCTTCCCGTGGCCGGGTGTTGTGCTGGGCTCCGAGGAAACCCAGAAAGAGTGACGACAGCAGCAGCTCCGACACAGTGCGTGGTGTCAGCAGGGTGTTCTCGCATCCTGGGTCTCTTCGGAGTGGGCAGGTTTTAAGGAGAGGCAATTAAGGCTCGAGAGGTTAAGTGGCCCATCCACAGTCACACAGAACTGAGTTTCAAACCAGGTCTCTCTGACCCTGAATCGGGCCCTTTTGTCGACCCCGAGTGTGTTTTGTCCAGATTGTGCATCCTCTACCGGGGAGTGAGCCGCCTGTCGGGGAGTAAGTGCCCGTCAGGGAGGGTGTTCAAACAGTCCCCGAGCAGCCCCTGGAGGGTCTGATAGGGGTTTTCCCTCCCCGGGGGTGGGTAGACCAGGTGGCCCAAGGTTTCTCTTTCAGCCCTGGGGTGTCATTTTCAGGTCTCTTTAATGGAGCCCCTGTCTGCAAGTCACCCTGCCGAGTTCTGGCCCCAGGCCCCCGGGCCAGCTCGGAGGGGTGACTTGTTGAAAGTGAATCCCCACAAACCTACTCCAGTCCGTTTATGGAGTGACAAGGCTTTAAAAAGGCAGCTTTGCCATCAGCATCTCCAACAACATGGAAGATGTCATGACTTATTTTTAACTTTTAAAATAGTGACTTGTGGTTGCTATGGTTACACAGCCTCTAGGTGGTTCCGGTTAAACAAAGCACCATGTAAGGCCAGGAGGCACTGCTCAGGGCTGCTCACCTCTTCCCCTGTCTTGCTCTCCCGCACCCACCTAGCCCCACCTGGAGGGAGGGGCTCGTGGACCCCAGAACCTAAGCCTTTGCTGGCCATGCAGAGTGGCCACTGGGGGAGGGCGGGACTCGGACCATCTCGCCACCTGGCCCTGGATTCCTGAGAGGCTTTGAGCCACGCTGAGCCTCCAGGCCTCCAAGCCCAAGAGAGAACATTCTCTGTGGCCAGCAAGAACTGACCCCTTTCCCTCTGAGGCTGGGCTGAGGCTGAGGGGGTGGGGGCAGTGACAGAGGGCAGGGCAGTGGCAGAGGTCCCCTCTTAGGTCCAGGACGCCCTGAGGTTTGTTCTCACACTCATTTTGCTCGTATTGCCTGAGCCCCTGCCCCCAGGGCTGAGAAATCAGACGTGAGTGAGACACAGACTGTGCGCTAGAGGCTCGCAAGCTGATGGAAGAGACAGGGCTGTGGACAGTGACAGTACAGAGTGGCCAGGAACCCAGCAGCAGCACTGAGAACAAGATGCAGGGGAGCAATTTCTGTCCGTTTCGCCACTGTCTCCCAAGCACCAAGGGCGCCTGGCGCATGGTAGCCTCTGCACCTATCTGAGTGAATGAATGGGTGAGTGGGTGGGTGAGTGAGTGGATGTCTCAAATCTAGTGCCCCTTCTCCATCCTCACTGCCAAGTAACTTTTTAGGGGTGGGGGGTAGTTGCCCAGTTTCAGAGGGTGCCATGTACATCGACGGCATTGACAAGTAATGCTCCCTGGAGTTGTGCAGGGCAGGGCAGCCCTCTGACCCCAGACACGTCTCACTTGGAGCATTGCAATAATCTTCTAACTGGTGTGACTCCCACATCCTACCCTCCTGTCCATCTTCTATCATTGTCGCCAAAATGACGCAAAACCAAAATCCAGTCGTCTTTCTCCTCCTTCAACACTGTCACGTCACCCTGTAATCCTCGGGGTTAGGTCCAGGCTGATCATCACGGCTTATAAGACCCTCAGTCAACAGATTCCCCCCACACACACATACTCATCTCTCAGCAGCCCCTCCCTGCCCCGGGCACTTGAATCAGACTGAATGGTGTGCCCTCCTCCTCCTCCTACTGGTCCCTCACACCTAGTCCAGGTGCCCCTGTTCCGGGAAACTAGGGCCACACACAGTGCTCACAGGCCACACACTGCTTGTCTGCCTGCCCAGCACTTAGGAGCAGGGACTGTGTCTTGTTTATCTTGGAGTTTCTACTCTCAAGCACAGTGCCAGGCACCATAGGGTTAAAAGGACCATTTCCCTTCCCACAGTGGTTCTTCAATACCAAGGACCCTGGTGTCTGGGCACCTAACCTGGGCAGCGCTGATAAGGGGAAGGGAGATGGCGCATGCAGCACACCCTGCTCCTCTGTCCTGCTGGCCAGCCAGAGCCCCCCTGGGCTTACCCTTGCTCTTCTCCACCCCGACATCCTTCTACGCCTCTGTCCACAGAGCTGCCCCTCCCCGACCTGCTCCTACCCCCAAATCACCTGCCAAAGCCTTGGGCACCGGGGCTGAGGCGTAACAGGCTGGAGAGCAGAGGCTCATGCCGTTTCTCCTGCCGCTTGGCATCCTTCTTTTTACCTGTTACTGATGGTAGTGCGTGTAAGGATGGCGATAATAACAGCAGCAACTTCTACTGTGCAGTGTTGTCTGTGTGCTGGGCTCAGTCACTGGTCTGAGGACCCCTTTAACCTTTACAAGATTAGTAAGGCCGCTCTGAAAGGGATGTCCCCAGTTTACAGAGAAGGCACAGGGAGATGAAGTAAGTGGCCCATGTTGGCACAGCTAGTAAGTCAGAGCCAGGATTTGAACCCAGGTTGCCTGGCTCAGTGGTGCAGACTCTTAGCCGCTCCCCATGCTGTGCACACCTGAATTACCTTCGTCCCAGCCCCCTATACAGGAGAGAAACTGAGGCCCAGAGAAAAGACCGTGAGCTGGTGACAGAGCTAGACCACAGCCAGGACCCGGGGCCCCAGCCAGCTCCCTGCCCCCCACACACCGTCTCCACCTCAGTCCCAGCCTCTGCAGGCTGACAGAGCTGTCAGTGCAGGGAGGCGCTAGCGGGAATAAAACAGATTCTACCCCAGGAAGAAGAGCAGGATGTTATGAGAGTCTTTTACCATGGGATTTGACATGTGAATGGATTGAAGAATAAAAACCCTTTGTGCACACGTGTCTGCTGCGGCAACTCTAGCCTCAGCTCAGGCGTGGAAGGTTTTACTCCTCTTATCCCAATAGTCTTCCTCAGCTTTCATCCCCCAAATCTTAACAGCCCTTTATAGCTATAAAGCACTTTACTTAGCACTTTCACAGCTGTTTTCTCATCTGTCTTCCCAACAATCCCAGGAAGTCGGTGTCTTTACCCCCATATTACAGACAGGAAAACTGAGGCTTAGAAAGGCCATGTGCTTTCCAAGCGCACTCAGCACGTTGGTGAGAGTGTATATTCAAACTCTTGCTACCTCTGCTGTCCAGGATGTATCCCCTGGATAACTCCTTTCTCTACTTAGCTTTCTTCTCCCTAGAACATTAGGCACAGTGAATCCAGGGCAGCTTAAGGGGCAGGCATTGATGCCACAGAGGGAGAGACCCAGGGCCTCACACTCAACCCGCCTCTTCAGCCTGGACCTCGCCTGCCTCAACAGGCCATGGGAAAGGGTGAATGTTTTGCTACCAGGCAGGGGAAGGAGGAATTTGGGGTCTCAGAAGAAATGTGGGTGCCCTGAATGGGCCAGGCAAGGTGGGCCCTGCCCCAGGAAGATTGCACACGTCGGATCCCAGCCTCACCTGTCTCCCCCACCCCAGACCCTCACAGCAGAGTGTGTCTGACTTCACCAGACCCTGACGACCCTCTGAGTTCCTACATCAACGCCAACTACATCCGGGTACGTAGCCCCATCCCAACACCCTCTCCCTGAAAAGGAGGCCCAAACTGGTGGGATCCATCCTCCAGGCCTGTCCGTAAGCCAGTGCGGCGGCTGCCAGCCCCGGGAAGAGCCTGAGTGTGGGGACTGGGCCCCAGGAACATTGCGTCTGACCCTGACAGCCTGGACTTGGCTGGCCACAGGGCTACGGTGGGGAGGAGAAGGTGTACATTGCCACTCAAGGACCCATCGTCAGCACGGTTGGTGACTTCTGGCACATGGTGTGGCAGGAGCACACACCCATCATTGTCATGATCACCAACATCGAGGAGATGAACGAGGTAGGCACCCCTGCACCATTACCAGGTGTCTGCAGCTTCGCGCCCACCCTAAGCCTCTTGTTTCCGTGTCCTTACAACAATCCTGTGAGGTCGGTAGTGCTCACTCCACAGTCAAGGTGAGGAAGGAGGAGGCTCAGCAAGGTTAAGCCATTTGCTCAGGGCCACATCAGTACTCAGAGGCAGAGCCTGGAGCTGGCCTCTCTACCTCCAGTGCCCAGGATCTTAAGCAGAATGCTCTGCTGCCTCCTAGGCTGCCAGGGCTGACACTGGCTATTTCCATACTCAAGATGGGTATTATTCCCATTTTCCAGATAAGGTAACTGAGGCTCAGAAAAGGGAGGTAACCTAAAGGTTACGAAGCTGAGTTTTGAACCCAGTACTCTCTAACTGCAAACCTATTGCCACTTTATAGCTCTCCCGGCTGGCCCTGAAGGGGCACTGGAGAGAGTATGGTTGGGGGAACTGGGAGTGAATCGCAGCCTGATCTTGGCCCTACAGAAGTGCACCGAGTATTGGCCGGAGGAGCAGGTGGTATATGACGGTGTCGAGATCACCGTGCGCAAAGTCATTCACACTGAGGATTACCGGCTGCGACTCATCTCCCTGAGGGTGAGGCCTGGGGCAGGGCTGTTAGGGGGCAAGGGCTTTATTGAGGATGCCACAGAAGAACAGGGTTCCAGAGTCCACTCTAGCTGAAATCAAGTCCTATGTCAGTGGTTCTCAACCTTCTGGCCCTTTAAATACAGTTCCTCATGTTGTGACCCAACCATAAAATTATTTTTGTTGCTACTTCGTAACTGTAATGTTGCTACTGTTGTGAATCTTAATGTAAATATCTGATATGCAGGATGGTTTTAGGCGACCCCTGTGAAAGGGTCGTTCAACCGCCAAAGGGGTCGCGACCCACAGGTTGAGAACCGCTGTCCTATGTCTTCCAGGAATTACTAGTGAGCAAGGGATAAGGGAGGGCTGAATGGACCGGGGACAGAAGCAGGACCAAACCTGTTGTATTTTATGCTGTTGGGCTCTCTGTGTGTCTACACAGTCATTCATAATGCCTTCCAGCTCTGCCTCAAATGCACCTAAACCCAGGACCGTCTGGATAGGGGGTCTCCCGCTGCCTCCAGCACTGTCCTTATAACTGAAAGACCACGGTGACTTCAAGATCCCTGCTAAAAGCATCCCCTTCACCTGGGATGCAGGCCTTCTGGCCTGTAGTACCCAATCTGTCCACCAGAGGGTAGACACTCCTTGCTGCATTTGGGTTGCAGGAGGAAGTTGTGATTACAAAAAAAAGCGGGGGGAGTTGGGGGGGTGCCGGACACAAAATATGAGCAATAGGAAACAGCCCAGAAGAGTGGGGGAAGGTATCCTCCCACCCTGAAGTTGTGCTTCTTTCAGGAGCAGCCTAAGAGAGCAGACTGTTCATTTGGAGTTGGGAGGATCAGTGGATCCTCTCTTTAAGGAATGATAGAGCCCTTCTAATAACCCCAAAGACTGGCAGGGATGAGCCAGGCACCAGGAAGCTGATCGAGTGGGAAGTCTAGTGAAGCTGACAGTCACAAGGTCCAGTGCAAAGCCTGAGGTCTGTTCCTCTGAGCTGCCCCTCTCCACTGGAGAGGATGCCAGGGAGCACTCTGCTCCCAGCGGGCAGTGCCCACCTGACCAGCTCCGAAATACAAACCTGGCTGGAGGGCAGAAAGGGCCAGGAAGGGGGTGGGGGGCAGAGGCTGTAGGAGCTTTCACAGCCAGATGACCCAGGGCCCCAGGAACCAGCTTCCTGTTTCCCCAGAAAGAGAGGTTGAGGGGGAGTCAGACCGAGCACAGCAAGGCGAGAGGAAGGTCCCTGAGCTCTGGTCATGTGGCTACAGGGGGACTGGGCTGTTTGTTAAAATGAGAAACCGGGAGGCAGGAATGAATTGGACAGGGGACTCTTTGCCTCTCTTGGATGATGTGTGAAGACCAATGCCGATTCCACGGGCCAGCCGCCACGTCCAAGCTGGCTTTGGGTCTCTGTCTGGTGCCACTGGGCAAGGTGGTGTCCATGGCAGAGGCCAGAGGCCCCACTCCCTGTGTCCTCCCCCCTGTGTTCTTCCTCCCCCCACCCCATCCCATCCCCATCTCTGTGCTGTGTGGGCTCACAGAGCTCACGTGTATCTGGGGTGGGTCTCTGTCTCCTGGACAGAGCGGGACTGAAGAGCGAGGCCTGAAGCATTACTGGTTTACGTCCTGGCCCGACCAGAAGACCCCAGACCGGGCCCCCCCTCCACCTCCTGCACCAGGTGCAGGAGGTGGAGGAGGCTGCCCAGCAGGAGGGGCCGCACTGCGCCCCCATCATCGTCCACTGCAGGTGGGTCCTCCCAGCCACCCGCCAGGGCAGGGCAGCCACCCACCCCCGCTGCCCCGCCCCTCACCCCACCCATCCCCTCTGCCCTCAGCGCAGGGATTGGGAGGACTGGCTGCTTCATTGCCACCAGCATCTGCTGCCAGCAGCTGCGGCAGGAGGGTGTGGTGGACATCCTGAAGACCACGTGCCAGCTCCGGCAGGACAGGTCAGCCCACGGGCAGGGTGGGGCACATGGAGAGCGTGAGCCCTAGGGGCAGAAGGGAGAGACTGACTGTGCTTGGGGTGAGGGGCCGGAGGGCACACTGGGTATGGACTGGCCGCTGGCTGACGGGGTAGGGAAGTCAGATGAGTGGAGGGGCTGGATCTGGACAGGCGGTGCTGGATGAAGAGGGAAGAGAAACAGCGGGCGGCCAGGACAGGCTGAGGGTGGCTGGAATGCCATCTCTGTCCCTGCTGTCTGCACCGGCGCTGGGAGGGGCAGGGAGGAGCTGAGGGGATTGCCTGGCTAGGGCTGGCCTCTCCAGCCTCCACGTAAACGAGGCCTCTCATGAGTGACCCCTCCCTACCATGCATCTCTGCCGGGCAGGGGCGGCATGATCCAGACGTGCGAGCAGTACCAGTTTGTGCATCATGTCATGAGCCTGTATGAGAAGCAGCTGTCCCGCCAGTCCCCAGAGTGACCTCTCTGCTCCCCCCGAGGTCCTCCTGGCACCACCCAGCCTGAGTCTGGGCCCTTACCCCAGCCACGCCCCCAGGGCCCAGCCTCAGGTCCTGGCCTGCTCCCTTCCCTGCCCCTCCTGCTTCCTTCTCTCCAGCTGGCCCTGACCCCCAACATAGCAATTCCTACTGTATATATTGGGGCAGGGTGGGGGAGGGACGTGCCAGGCCAGGCCTGGGGCTCCAGGACCCGACGCACACCACGCAGACCTGGGGCCTCAGTTTTAACGATGGTTCCATCGCTACTTGATCCAAAATGTTTGTGCTGCATTCCAAGTGTCCTGCCACAGCGTGTTCTGTCTGTCCATCCATCTCTGCTGTCTGTACCGGACACTGTGTCTCCTCAGCCTAGGATAGGGGTCATGAGCTCCAGGCCCTAAGCAGCCCAAGCAGAGGTGCCTGGCTTGGCCCCCACCCCACTTCTCCCAACAGGCAGATTGCATTTTGCCCTCAGTTATTGGGATCAGGGTGGGGAGAAGGGCCGGAGGACCTAGAGGCCAGGCGTGGGAAGCTCCTGGGTGGGAAGAGAGATCTCATCTAGGGAGAAGTCTCTGGGTGCGGGGGAGGGGGGAGAGTATCACAGCCTGGCTGGCCTCTGGGTGTCACAGGTCCTCAGGAGGCAGTGGCCAGCCTGCGAGGCATTGGGGAGGAAGGGGACAGATGGGGGCTGTGCACCCAGAGGACCTGGGCCCTGGTGGGGATGGGAGGGAGAGGGGGAGCTCTGAGGGTGGGTTGGGAAATCGCTCCAGATCTGTGGGAAACATTTTTCTGTGTCACCGTGGGAAGCCTTCCCAAGAGTCTTGCTGCGTGCAGCTCTGCGTGTGTTCCTGTGTCCACGCGTGTGTTGAGAGCCCATCAGCGGGGTATGCATGACTCTTTGGCAACATGTGTTATCTTGGAGCCACGTGTTTTTATTGCTGACTTTAAATATTTATTCCACGGCAGACAGAGACATTTGGTGTCTTTTTATAATTTGCTCGTGGTCATTGAATAGAGCAATAAACAGAGCATTTTGAGCAAAACTGGCCTCCTGGGTCTGTGATTGCCTCTCCCGTCCACTCCCTGCCTCCTAGTACTGGTCTCCTCCTCCTCCTCCCCCTCCTTCTCCTCCTCCTCTTTCTGTGTGTGTGTGTGTGTGTGTGTGTGTGTGTGTGTGTGTGTGTATCCATCTCCCTAACACCCCCTTGTGGAGATTGGGAGTATGGAGAGAATCCAGATCTGCAAAGCCAAAGAAGTCCATTGGACAGACCCTCACACACCCTCACCCCGATCCAGCCAGAAGCCCTGGGACAGGGCAAGCCTCAGGAACAGGTGTGGCAGGCTTCTACCGAAGGCAAAGCGGCTGGCCGGGCACCAGTTCCGGCAGATGGGCCGGAGAAGCCAAGGCTAGGCAGGGGGACATTCAGGTCACCACCCCCAGCCCCTCCCTGTTGGCCAGCACACTTATCCCATGCTAACCCTACAGGTCCCAACAGCAGCTGCAACCCAGTAATTTCCCTTTTAAGGCCTGGACTGAGAGTAACCCCTCCCAGTGGGCCTGGGGAATCTGCCCAGGGGCTCAAGTTCTGGACACTCCTGCTCTATTCTTGCCCCTGCCCCCAGGGATGCAGCAAAAGTAGCATCGGTGATGCCACGGCTGGCAAGCAGGGGTCATTTCCAGACAGGAGGCGGCCCAGGGCAGAGCTGTTGATCAGCCAACAGGTCCTTCCAGGTGCCAGAACCTTGTGTGGGCTGGTCGCCGGTCTAACCATGCAGGTAGACTACAGACAGTCAGGAAAGAATAAGGAGAGGCTTGAACAGCTGGGATGGAGGTCAGGGGTAGGGGCATGGTGTCCAGCTACCCTCCCACAGGGGGTGGACCTCCTGCCCTTCAACCCAGGCTGAGGGATTGGGCTGCAGGAGTGGGAAGGGGGAGGAAGACTAACAGGCTGTGCAGGCACCATACATACATGAATGGTAGCCCCTGGACTTGTGCAAAATAACAGACCGCCTTGACCTTCCCATTGGACTGTGCATGTGCGCGTGCTACACACACACACACAACTCTGAGCCCCTCAGCTCAAAGCGTTCCCAACCGGCAGCAGTGAGAAGCAAAACCTCTGCCACAAAGAAACAGGTAAAGTACCCCTGGGCCACCATCCTCAGCTCCCTGCCCGCCCATGCCCAGCATTTCCTCCAGGCTTGGCTCCAGCCCCACGTCTGCCCACCCTCTGCCCCCTCCCCTCCCCCAAAGCAGTGTGTCAGATAGCTGGGGCAGCTGCGGAGCCTGAGTAAGAGATTGCCCCCAGGGGGCCAGACATTTAAGGAACCGGTGACTCCTGGCGGCCTCACTATTAAGGCAAAGGAAGAAGGAGACTGGCCATTCTACGACCCGGCCACTAGCTGCTCCTCCAAAGCCGTGGACACAGCGTTTGAGGGTTAGGAGGGACTGGTCATACGAAGGTAAGACTTCCCTCATCCCTCAAGAAGGGGCAGAGCCTACTACCTTCTGAGCCCAGAGAGGGACCGCAGGAGCTGGGACAGAGGTGGTCTCAGAAGCTAGAAAGAGAAAGGACAGGCTGAGAGAGATCATGGTGGGGGTGGGCGGGGGAATAAAGTTTAGCCTCAAACTGTCTGGCTCAGAACAGGGCTTTGGGATCCCCTGGACGGGCACTGGACTGGGAGTCGGGAGGCCAGGATTCCAGTCTGAGTGACCTTGGACAGGTTCTGACTCAGACATCAGTTTCCTCCTCTACAAAGCAGGGGTTTAGAAACTGCCCTGCTGGTTCGATGAAATTCTGTGTGGCTATTAACAAGAATGAGGAAACTATGAACAGATATGGAGAGACCTCCAAGATGTATGAAATGAAAAAGGAAGAGGCTGAATCGTGTGTATAATAGGCTACCGTACATGTAAAAAGGGGCGGGGGGGGGCAGGGGACAAGGACAAAGACATATTTTCATGAGTGAGCCTAGAGACCACCAGTGCTTACCTGTGGGGGGAGGGTTGGGAGATGGGGGCTCGAGATGGAAGGGAGCCTCTTCGTAAAGATGTTTATATTGTTTTATTTTTCAACGATGTGATTGAAGTACCAATATTTTTTTAAAGTGTATGAAATCAACTCTGTCTTCACTCCATCACAAACGAAAGAGCTGGAAAAATGAGCTGTCATCTGTCTTGGCATTCCACCAGGGCCCGGGGCCCCAAGGCCCAGGAGAACATGCACAGCTTCCTTCCAAGGCCGCTCCAGTGTGGCTTAGTCAGGCAGTTCCTTCTTAGATCTGACTTCATTCCTCCCGATGAAACCTCCAGCCCTGCCTCCCTCGTTCCATGTAGCTGTCCATAGGTATCCTCAAGTGCCTCTGGGCCTTACCTGGTTTGTAGGATAAACCTAAGCCCTACATCCTCTCCTCCCAGAACTTGGAATAGTTTGGGATTACTCAGTGGGGGACAAGCCCATTGGTCCTTGTAGCCAGGCTGGGAAAGTGAGATACAAAGGGGAGAAGATAGAGGCCAGACAGAAAAGGTGTATTGCCTCTCACCTGACCTCTCACCCCCCGTGTCCACCTGCCCCTCTACACACACACACACCCCATCTCTGAATCTCCCTCCTACTCCCTTGTCCTTCATGGCCTCATCCTCTGCCTGTCCTCCCAGGTGAGTGCCCACGCCTGCTGTTACCATGACAACCATTCACCACAACCAGATGTTGCAGGAGCACGTGTCCATGGAGTTCTCCAGCTCCTCCACCCACGTGCAGACCTTCTCCAAGACAACCAAGATCGTGGGAGGCAAGTAGAATGGGGGCAGGGGTGATTGGGAAGGGGCAGCCTTTCTTCCTCCACATCTACCCGCTGGCTGGGTGGCCTCAGTATTTGCGGTACCAAGAGCAACCCTCTCCTAACCTGTGCTTCTAATCTGTGCCTTGATAAAGCTTCAGCCAGTCTTATGTTCACCCACAGATCAGCTCCCCAGGAAAACAGCTTACAAAAAATCAATCACACGGCTGTGTGTGAGTGACTGATGAACTCTTAATTACTTGAGATCAGAGCCATAGGCAAACACATGCATCCCTGATGGTAGAATTTCAGCACGGAGCGAGTTAGGGGGGCAGCCACCTTATCTACATATGAGTAATGCTGACCCTGCTCCATTTAAGAGAGAGGAGACTTTGAGCTGCCAGCCAAGAGAGGATGAACAGCTAAACAAGTGACCTCAGCTTCCAGGCTCTCAGCCCTTGGGGACCAGACCTGGGGAGGACAGATCCAAGGAAAAGCTGAGAAATGGCCTCAGACCAAAACAGATTGTTTCAGTCATGTCTCTAGAGAAAAGTGATTAACAAATGGCCAGGGGCCAGGATATTGAATCCCCATCCTCTCAGCCATTGCCCCTCCCTCAAAGTCCTGGACAGGCTGTCCTTCAGAGTCCTCTGTGCACAGAGGTCAAAGCCAGATAAACATGCTATACCACCCCCTCCTGGTCAGTGACGCAGAGCAAAGAGGAGACCGGGGACCTGAGGGCAGAAGTTGCAAGTTCAAGTGATGATAGCAGGGATTATCAGCACCAGCTGGAGTTAGAGTCATCCTAGTGTGGGCGCAAGAGGGAGAGGAGTAAAAAACATAGCAATACCTGAGCCTCACCCAACTGTTAAACCAGGTGTTTGTTTTTAAAACTCTCAGAGATTCTAATATGTGGCCAGAGTTTAAAGCCACTGACCCTCAGGGTCCAGGCAGGGAACATAAATGCATGAAAGAGACTGAGGTGAACTTGAGAGGACATACCCCATCTAAAGGGGCAGCCATATTCACCTCCCACTAGTTGTTACCATATGGAAATACAAGAATCCAAAAATCTGAACTTTTATGTGAAATCTCACAATTTTTAGATGTAGGGCTTCTTTTTGTTTAAACGTTGTACAGGTCAAATAAGACATGTACGGGTTGGGTGTGGCCTGCACACAGCTTGTTTGAGACCTCTGACACTAGTTAACAGCAGGCACCGGGCTTCTTAACACATTTTTCTCTCCTCAGTCGTTCAGGTTGGTGGAAATAATACAGGCACCTCCTTCACCGGGTCACTATGAGGATTAAATAAAATAATCTCTGCTTAGCACAGTTCCTGACAAGGAAAGGGCACCGTGATTCAGAGCAATTGTGATTAACTCACTAAGCCAACAAGATTTTGTGTAGTTTATATTGAAAAAATAACTTTTTGTTTCCCAAATATAAAACTATAGAGGCTCAATGCATGAAATTCATGCAAGATTAGGCCTTCCTTCCCCCGGCTGCTGGCACTGGCTTCCCTCTGGCACTCGGGACCTGGGCTTCCCTTGCAGCCCCAGCTTAATCCAGAAGGTTGTCCGGAAGGACGTCTGCTCTAATTAGCATATTACTCTTTTATTATTATAGATATTACCACATTGGATATGCTCTTTCAGATGATGAGATTCCCATATGTAGTCCCACTGGACTGGGAATGTCTCCTGTCCCTCAGTCAGGAATCACTACTCCATGGCAATGAATGCTGAACCACAGGAGGGCAGGGGGAAGGCCCACAGCAGAGCTCAGCTAAGCTACCAGGCCTCCCAAGCAGGAGCAAGCCCAGCCCCTCCTCATGCTACTGGGGGATCAGGACCTCCAGGAGACAAGCACAAGAGATTAAGAAATTCCCAAAAGAGAAGTCTCCTTTAAATATATATATATATATATATATATATTAGTACTCAGGGCGGTGGCCCAAAAAAGGTGATTGACCATTGAAGGGTTGGGAGAGAAATCGGCTCCCCCTGGTGGTTGAAATGTGCCATAACACAATGACTCCAGGCTCTAAGGGCCTCCTTTCTTGGTCAAAGCTGGTCCAGTGGCCTAAAGTATTCCACACCATCCCCTCAAGAAAAGGCCAGTGCTCTAGTACCAGCCTGAGCTCTGCCTGGAGCTCACTCTGACCTCTCTTCTCCTACCACAGAGGAAGTCATGACTAAGTCGTCGTCGTCAAGCACTGTCCAGTTCTTCAGTTTGGTGACTCGCAGTTCCAACATCCCTGAGG